GTTGCCTCTCCTGCACAATAGATAGAGTATATATTCGTACGTACATTTACAAATTTGAATACAATCAAATTGAAACAATACAAAATATTAAAAACTAACTCTGCTAAATAAATAATAATTAACATTATAGATCGAATATTTGAAAAAAAATAAAAATAAAAAAAATCCTCGCTGCTCAAGCTTTGGAGATTTGTGGCTTTGAATAAACATTGAAATGAGCATGATTGAACAAAGCATTGAATAAGTTTGTACTTAGACTTACAGTGCAAAATATAATGAATTTCATCCCAATCATATTGCAGTTACATCTGGTAGTTTGACGACGTACTAGCGGCCAGGGACTGCCGGTGGCAGAGTAGTTAATAATACATGTACATGGTTACGAGTTATGGTGTATTTTTCATGTATTTTCCATGGCCGCTAGATTCTCAATAATATCAAGACATTAAAACAATGAAATGGAATAGTAGTAGTCATCCAAATGTGAGCTGAAAACTATAGCAAGTAATTATGAAACACCAGTTTTCATCTCAGGTGTACATTAAATAGCACAACATAAAGGGTTGGACATTTAAAATATAGGGAGATGGAAGCGTATGACCAGTGCAATACTTTTCACAGTGTCTTATCTGTACGTTTTTATTTATCTTGAATGTCCTTCTTTCATGCATTTTCTTTCTCTGTGTCTAACTTGCATTTTTTTTTAAAGAAAAATTTAAAATTGCCAACCCCCAAGGCTACAAAAAAAATAGCAACACAAATATCCGGTAGCAACAAACAGTGTCCCATTTTGCGTGGTTTACACGAAAACACATAACGGGGGACGAGATATTTTACCGTGTACATTGGATATTTCAGCGATATTTTGTGGAACTATGAACGGAATACCAGTCAATACTTGATTTTGCTCGTTTGCCTGGGAGCAATACTAAAACCGATTAATAACATACATTATTGAACGTGACCAACTCAGATCTGGTAAATCGATGACCATACTTCCGGGTTTTTGTCATTTACATATTCTCGACAGACGCGATATCTCGAAATGCGTCTGCGTCAACTTGAAAATGTACTGTACATTTTGCGTCCGTCTACTAGAAAAAATGCGTCTGCGTCAACTTGAAATAAATAGTGCAAAGTCTCGTAGGGGGACTCTTTGCGTCGACAACTTAAAAAGTGCAAGTTGCGTCGTCTACTACTAGTAGGGAACCCGTTTGCA